CTTCCAAAGTCGAAGCCTGATACTTCGGCTGCAGTTCACCAGAGGTTGCCATAGCAGCGTGAGCGATGCAGACAGACACATTGGCCACCCAAACATATCATAGCTGTCGATATTGCACTTCCTTACAATGGGTCTCCTAAACGAGGGCTTGCGGCTTTTGCCTCCTTGTCGAGCGTTTCTTAAGCGCGACATAGCCATCTCACATAGTGTTTCAGGCAAGAAGGTTTCACAGACCAACCTAGATCCAGTACATTTTCTCTGCATTGATACAAAATGAAGTTTCCTGCAGCCAGTACAAATCACTTGTTGGACATTCCTGGGATGTTTGATGCAGCTTGAGAAGCAACTAAGCACAGTGCTTTGAACAACCCTCCTCCAGCGGAGATTGGGGACATGTAGGGTGTAGATACAGTACGGCAGAAGATCTGCCCTGGGTGTGGCTTTTTTTTGGAAAGCAATGTACCTGACAGCCTGAAAGCAGAAGCAGTAGTAGTGCTAGCAGCAGCAGCAGCAGCAGTATTGGTGTTGGTAGTTGCGCTAGTCGTTGGCGGTGCTGCCATTCTCATCAGCGTATGATGGTAGTTGTCGCAGCTGCATTGCAGTTAACCGTGATAGTTGTCGTCGTAGAAGCCACTGGAAGGCCTTAAAGGTGTGTGACAATGTGGAGCCTGAACATTATTATTGTAAGAACCTGAGCGACTGCAGCCGGGTGAAATGTCGCTGACATACTGCGCTGCGCGTGTCCTGTTCTGGAAAACAATCAGCCAGCAGATTTGACACTGTGGAGGGTTTGCAGGGGATTGCTGGGAAAACAGCATCAGCTTTGGTGTGCGACACGGATAACAAAGGTTGTAATGTTTTGGAGGGGGCCTTTCGGAGGGGATGTCTTTTCCATAAACAGCCATGTGAGTTTAGAAGCTAGGGACGAATGAAACATGGGTTTACAGCGATTGGGAAATCTGAAGGGTAAGGGATGTCTTTTTGGCCTCTGACTTGAAATCAGATGCCTCCAAATGTGGAGCACGTTCTGAGACAAAACCATGTTTTAGATTACAGTAGAACCACAATTTGCTACGCATAAGTGGCTAGCCCGTTTGGATACTGCGAACCAAGCCCAGCAGAACTTGCTCTGCCTCAGCAATGACTCAGGATTTTCAGTGTCTGTCCATTCGATCTGCGCTTGCAACTGTGGGTGACAAGCATTCCGCAATGGTAGTAGCAGCAGTAGTAACCGTAGCCGTAGCAGGCGTAGTAGTAGTAGAAGCGCTGCTGCTATTCCTCCACTCTTACAACGGACTACGGGTTTTGCCTCCGCTTCTGGTTTTGCTGCATTGCTGACAATTGTGCCTGGCAGCTTCTTGAGGTTTGGGAGCAGCTGTTGGAAGCGCAGCAGTTGGGTCCTGAGTCGCCAGCTTGCTCTTTCCTTCAAAATCAGAACCTGGCAAGGAGCCATGGAACAGAGACAGGGGGCGCGCATCATAAGATCATGATGCTTCTGATGACAGGGACGACATCATTGTTCTCGTTGTTGTCCTGGTTGGGATTCATCCAGGGTTCAAGAGATGTTGATGCTAGATGCCTTCGTGAGCCCTTCCCGAAAATCTATGATGTACGGCAGTCCAACGTGCAACGGATTTGCAAAACCCATGCGGCCGGAGCACCACCCCGAAGCGGCATCTTCTTGATCCATGCTAGGGAAGTTTCTCATGATTTTCCTGTTGTGCCCCATGCTTGGTCCCCGTGCCGGGCATGCAGCAAAATCACGGAAGCAGCCGCGTTCTCGTTCCTCCTCAAGTTTCCCCATAATATTCAGCACTCGGCCAGCTTTCGTCATCCAGGGTTCGCCCTTAAAACTTCCAGCGCTACAGGACGTTCAAGATTCTGAGCGGATCATGCAGTACGGTAATCATTCAGGGCAGAGAAAAGCGCATCATGGTAGGCGATTTGAAGCGGGCCGATGTCATGGATGCAACGGTCTGAGATATTGCTGTTAATGTTCTTGCAAGAGTATCGTTGTTGAGTTGCCTTTCCGAGCAGTTTCGGTCACCACGTGTTGGGTCCGTTGGTCGGCGTGATATAGAGTTCCCTATCTTGTGAGCCACATAAATTTTACCTGCTTTTACAAGTCCCGCGGAAATCCACAGTCTAAGTCGCGGATGCCCATACAACAAAGTTTGTTCTTGCGGGCTTTCCTTGGCTTCAAAGCAGATAGCCTTCACATATTGAGCTTTTGTTACGTCCCGGTCCTAGCGCGCAGACATCCCTCAGCCAAATCCACAAGAAAGACCGATTGCGGAGCAAGCATGTGAGGCGACGTAGATAAATCATTGCAAGACCACTTGGTGGCAGATTGGTTGCATGTTGGTAAACTGGTCTCGTCATTGCCTGAGGTTGTAATCCAAGAAGTTAGCAGGATTTCATTAACGGACTTGTTGCTGCCCTGGATAGAGTGTGTAGCTGCAGGGTCCAACATCTATTTCCGTATTCCTGAGCCTGGGACACATCCCCAGCTATGCTTTAGGTTCTCTTGCCAGAACACGCTGTTTTGCGAGGCAGACGCTCAAAAGCCCATCGGAAAGCCAAAGGTTCAGAGCTCAGAACCGGAAAACCTGCAAGATTATAACGCAATACCAATGATTGGAGTACTGGACAGAATGACACAGCAACAGTACCAACAGTAAGGTAGGCTAAGGAATTGCGTGCGCCCAATGTTTTTCATGCTGGCGGTCACGCTTGATCATGTCCCTATCCTTGTTGGAACATCCCAAGATGAATGTCAGCATAATTAGTCAGAAGCAGCCCCGGAAGGATTAAGGTCCCGAAAGGAGTAGGACGGTAGTGATGTCAAAGCAAACCGGTGGTTGGAACACTGCACTGAGAGCCAGAGCAGGCCCCAAGAGTTTTTGAAGTCAAGACTCCAGACCTAAACATGTAGCCTTCAGCATGGCTGATTGTTAGAACAAAGCCTTGGGCCTGCCCTAAATCTTGTCATGCTTGCTTGAGGCGCAGTCAAGCGCCGGCTCGCTGTTGCCCAGTTGTGGGGCAAGGACCTCAGAAGAGATTTGTCATTTGCTACGAATCGCTACGAATCTTGAATACCACCCTTTCACCCCCTCCCCCCCTCCAAATATTAAATATCGTGCCCACACCCACCCCCCAAGATTTATATTTGGATGATTGGATGAATAAAGGCCAGTCCATGAATGAAGGCAAGTCAGGCCAGGCCGGGGCATGAGTGCATAGGTCACTGCGGAGCGGAAGTAGCATCATGTGAGCTACGAACTCAAGTTAAGTTGGGGGGGGACCTATATACCCTAAACCCTAAACTGATGTATAGGGGATTTAGGGGCTGACCTATAAAGGGATGTATGCCCCTAAACCCTAAACCCTATAGGGGATTTAGGGGGTACATTAAAAAATCATTGTAGCTGTAGTCCAGGGCTCATGTGCAGGGCAGGTGAGGCCGGCAGTGTGGAGGTGCCTTAACAGGGAAGATGGGAATATGCATATAGATATATATATAGACATATACAGATATATATACATACATACGTACATACATCCATGCATACATACATACATACATGTATGGGAACATGATATATAGGGATTATATAGTCGCAAGTGCGGCGGTTTTGGGTGGTCATCGTTTGGACCCTCGGCCAGCTCTGAACCATACACCCTAAACCTTTAACCCCTAAACCCCTAATCGGCAGCCCTTCAGCCAGAGGCGAGTCCCTTCAGGCTATGTGTACAGCTGTGCCCTTGGATCTGGGGGTCGAGGGTTTAGGGTTTAAGGTTTAGAGATTAGGGTTTGGGGATTCAGGGTTTAGGGTCTTAGGGTTTAGGGGATGGGGATTTTGAGGTTGCGATTCTCCGCGGAGGCTCCTTGGAGGCTTAGGTTTGACCATGCCCAGTATTTTGCTACCAGTTGGGTACTGCCCCCACCCAGTAACAGTCTATATTAGGGGTCCTATTAAGGGCTATATATAACGATATTATACTTATTATCCAACTGTTACTGAATGGGGGCAGTACCCAAGCTACCAGGTAATATTTCAGGATGACTTTCCATCTTGTGGTGGAGCACCTTGTTCTTGACCGAAGAACCAGAAGTTGATGCATCAGTAATCCCCTCCCCCCAAAAGTTACCCCCCCCACCCCCTAGTATTAAAAATTCCCACTGTGGTAGATTATAGTATATTGGGAATTGGGAGTATTTAGTATTAGGGGACGGGGGGTAATATTAAGGGGAGAGAGGATTACGGCGATCCGCCTGGATAGACATTTCTTCCTAGGAAATAGATTCAGAGAGCGCTGGCATGAAGTTCTTGGAGGTACCTGCCAACATCTCAGCCATCATCTAAACTCCTAAAGAGGTTATGTAGGGGAGCAATATACTAGGAGTTTAGATTATAGCTCATCTGGCACCTGTGTGCCAGCACATCCTTTTGCTTGACCGTTATGACGCCGGCATCTCTTGCTCCTGATGGCAGCCGTGCGGGTTCGGACATAGACTCCAAAACAGGTGTGTGTGTTTGTGTCATATCGCCTTCAGCAACCTCAAGCACGATGCATGAGCAGGTGGAACTGTGGCCCCATCACTGAAGCCTAGAGCTGGCGGACCTGACGATCATGCACAGATGGAGGCCCAACTCAACGAAGTACCACAGGGGGCCGGGAGAACACAATGGAGAATCAAATGGAAAGAAACATGGAAAATGGAGCATATCTAGAGGCGCTACAGAACAGCAGCTGGCTTTCGCACGCCATGGATACAAAGTTGTCGCTGTTCCTGCAGAGAGTAGAGTGGGCACTTCTGTCATTGGAGCCCGGCAGCTTAGCCCCAAAGGTGGGGAGCTTCTCAAAAGTCCTCTAATGATTAGGGTTTAGGGGTTGAGGGTTTAGGGTAATCCTTAACAGGGACCTGCATGATGCCATTCTAGGCCCCACAGAAGCCAGGGTCCGTAAACCAAACCTTTGTCTTGAGAAATCTCCAGGTAGATGCAGAACTCAGCAGCACTGAGCAGAACGAATGCGAAGCTTTGCGGAGACTTATCCAGCCGATACGTGCAGGTGACCTAGCGCCTGGCCACCAAAGAGTTCAACTGGGGTTCGGCTGAGTCGCGATGTGGGTGCATGTAGAGGCCAGCCCCCCTCCCCTCCATCAGAGTTCAAACTCGGATTGTGAAGAACTAATTGGTGACCGCATTTTTCCAATCGGCTCAACTCCGCTTGAATGGTGGGGGCATTCTGGACACCAGCCACCTTCCTTTGAAAAGGCACCACTTTGGATGGGACAGTTGTTGTTAAGAACCGCAAAGAGCTAAGGTGGCGGTGCTCTCGGACAGTTGGCTGCAGACTCTTGCTGCCGTGCTCACGCGCAAGAGCGTTGACTCTGCCCTGGCAGCAGGAGGGCTTCCGCATCTGGTGGTCCCTTGAAAGCAGAAATGAATTCAAGAAGTTGAATTTGGTCTAATTCTAGGACCTCTTGCTTTGTGGGCCGGTCTTTTCCAAAAGGCTTGTGGGCTACGGTAGAAGCTTCAATGATTACTAATATGATCCCCTCATAATCCCTATACAATCAAAGTATAATATTCCCCAATAGGCCCCCAGTATTAGTCCTTGTAAGGCCGACCTGGTTGCAGCCGGCAGCAGCTTCCTGAACAATCCTGAAGGCTGCAAGCAGGTTCGTGAGCGTGGTCTCTACATGCTATTGGGTTGCTGTTAAGGAACTTAATAAGTTTAAGTTACTATGATAAGGGGTATATAGATATATACCTAAACCCTAAACCGTAAACCCTACATATATATATATATATAGAGTAAGTAATCTGGTCCCCCATAGTAACTTTCATCAAGTTCCTTGACCGCAGCCCAGGCTAGCAGTGGCCTTTCTCCAACACTACCTGCGAGCAAACTGCACGGGGCCTGCAAATGGTGAGGATGATGCTGGGTTGCTGTTAAGGAACTTAATTTAAGTTACTATATTGGGGGAACCATATTAATTACTATATATGCCCATTATGGTAACTTAAGTTACTATATTGGGGGAACCATGTTAATTACTATGTATACCCATTAGGGTAACTTCACTTAAGTTCCTTAACAGCAACCCAGGATGCTTCCCTGCCCTTCCATCCTTTCGAGCTGGCTGATGATCCATCCTCCAATATCCTGGCTGCCTCTTACTTAGCCAGTTAGAAGAACTTTAACCGTTTTGGGCTTCCTTTTTTGGGGCTCTATAATGAAGTTTAGACTTTTTTTAGGCCTGGTTATTGGGGAAGAGGCCTTAGAAGCAGATGGTGAGCCAGCCTACGAGCTATTAGCCTGTCCCGGGTACCTCTGGCTGTCAGCCTTGCTGCTTCGCCTAGTACCCAGTGAGATGCCAAAGTCTGACGGCGTGGCGCTGCCCTTCTGGCGAGCTCGCTGCGCTTTTGCTTGGCAGTTGAGTTTGGCGGAAGCCTCGGAAAGAGGCTGCGGCCAGTGCCCATCGCTCTTCCGAGCCTGCGTTCATGACCTGGTGACCTCAGAAGGGTCCCCAGCACCGCTCTCTGCCAAGGGCTTCCTCAATGACTCCGCGTTGTCCACCATCCAGGCTGCCACGGCTCCACTCCTAGATACTTGGAAGCGGTCCTCTGAGCGGCCACCGGCCATCACAGTGCCTCCAGCAGAAGTCATCGCAGAGGAGTGCCAGGTGCAGGACACTGAGGCTCTGGAGGCCATGCTGGATGTCTTCGATCCTCCTCCCCGCACTGAGCGTAGCTCGGCTCTCGAGGCCCCAAGTGCAGTTCGGGCAGCAATCCTGGTGGAGCTTGCGAACCGGCTTTGCTGGTACAGCCGCCTGAAAGTCTGGGAAGTGAGCTCTGAAGCAGCATGCAAGGCCATAGAGTTCCAATACGAGCTCACAGGCGTGATGGGCATCAAGCGAGAGTACCAGACCACGGAGTTTGCACAGCTAGTGGTTCGGGCCAGGAGCAGCAGGAGCAAGGATCATGCCAAGGGAATCGAAGTTGAGGAGCCTGAAGCACTGAAGCCCGAGACGCTAAGTTTGAAAGCAGTGGATGATTTGACCGATGTCCTTGAGGTCCCAAAGCTCTCCAAGTCTGTAGGTGAGGAGGAGAGGCTGGAAATCGAAAGGCCTCTGACTGCTGCTGAGCAGATCATCCTGCTTTCCCGGTGTCAGTATATTTGGGCCTCCAGCAACCCCAACGACGAAACTGGATCATTGTTGCGAACATGTTTCATGTTCAAGTTTGCTTACAAGTCTGACTGGATATAGAAGCCAGAGACCCGCCCTCAACACCATTCCATTATCCCTATATAACCCCAATATATTACAGTAGCTTCCACTTTGTTTTCCATTATCCCTAAACCAGGAAATGGTGCTTCAAGAGATCAATGCCCTGGCGCAGCGTGTTGTTCAGACAGAGGACAAGGCGGCAGTCCCAAAACATGGAAAGCCCAGCCAGCCGCTACTGTAAACCCATTGGGGTAATATTATGGTATATATTGGGGTTCTATAGTATATCCCTGTATAACCCCTGTAGTTTCCATTTTCTTTTCCATTATCCCTATTATAGGGATAAAGGAAAAGAAAATAGAAACTACAGGGGTTATACAGAGATATTCGTGTTCTGACTGAACCTCTATGACCTATATGATGGATGCACGTACACTGCATAATCCACAGCATGCATGTGGGTGGTTGTCAGAATTATGGTCCCTTTTTGGATCCCAATTATAATACGGCACCTAATATTTAGGGTACCCAAAAAGGGACCATAATTTTGACACCCACCCATGTGTGCCCTGACCAATCGCTTGAAGAGCCCTCAGGCCAGGGAGGAGGAAGCAAACGAAGGGCCGCTTTTCACAGCTAACTGGCTGACCTTCAGCTGCGGCCTTTGGTACCATGGCAGTCTAAAAGACTTGGGGAGGCTTTAGTATACCCATGCACTGCGATGAGACTCTTAATGTAGATCTTATGCGGCTTAGCCTTCCCTGGGCCCTGGATGTCCTACCTTTTTGGTAGTATGCTTTAAGACTTATCTTTAAACATGTAGGCCGGAACCCACCCCCCAAATAAAAAAGAAGACATACAGAGCCCAGTTATGGGCTGACAAGTAAGGTATCGCTGCCGAGCCGAGCATCATCGGAATAAGACTCGGGAGCGCGCGGCGTTCCCCGGCATGTCGAAGTCTACAGCCCTGGCATTTTGGATTATAGTTCCCCTTAAGTAGGTAGAATATGGGATGTATGGGGATCTTATTATAATATACCCAAAGCTATACTCTATCTGCTTAAGGGGGACTATATCTCAAAAAGTTTCTACAGAATCTTCGAAGTAGGGACCACCATTGTTCCTTTGTACTCACCACTAAGGTCCCTTAGGGACTGCCAGTTTGGGAAACCTCCCTCTTGGTGTCCCGTGAAGAAGTGGACCTTCCTGGGAAACCCGCAAATCGTTGCATGAAGCCGCCGTGTGGCCCCCTCACTCTGAATATCAAGGATACCAGCTAAGACCAAAGAGCCCAGATGTAACGATGGGGCCATATTGAACTAGCAGGACGGGACTGTAAAAAGGAGGAAAGCATTTCAGCGTGACTTGACTCGACCGTGCAGCATGCATAGGTTCCAATTGCAATCGCTGGTGGCGACTTGGCCGTTGTTCATAAGAAAGTGCAAAGCTCATGTGGGTGTTTCCGAAGTCGGGGTCCGTCACCTCAACTGGGTTGGCCTTTGGCAGCTCAAGTATTTTGCCTTTTTGGTTTCATAAGGGCCCTAGATATTATGATTTTTCAAGGGGCTCCAAAGGCCCACCAAGCTCAAGGTAAGAATAATCCTTTTCCTCAGAGTTTAGGGTCTAGGGATACAAGACCCCAATAATGAAGAATCAGATGGAAAATGCAATGGAAGCTACTATATTTTACCTTATGGGAAAGATTCCCAAGAACGGGATCCTTAATTCTTGGAAATTTCCATGTGAGCTATAGTCTAAATTCCTCACAGGGTGGTTATATAGGGGATATTCAGGGAAGTGTTATAGGGGTTCTTAAGGGGATACGAGGAGTTTCGAGTTGCCCTTCTTGAAGTGAGTTAGAAGTTTATTAAGGCTACTAGGCCCCTAGTTTGAGCAAACTCCCCAACCTCCAGGGTTTAGGGTTTAGGAACCCCAGCGCAAATGCAAGCCATGTTTAGATCATGAAGCCGCTGCTGACATATGTTGTCGTGCTTTTGCCTCCCTTGTTCGGAGAACGGCCTGGGCGCTTGTCACACTAGTGATTTCTTCTGCGGACTCCCCACTACGTCATGTTTGGGTGTGGACCTCAGGCCAGGCGGTGCGTGAAGCCTGTTGCAAAAGGAACCCCCAACGCATAAACCTCTACATAATCCTAGTTTGCATGTCATTTGTCATTTTCTTCTCCATTCCATTCTCCATTCTTGAATAATACCCCTGGACCCGAATCCCCAAACCCTAAACCCTATGAATTCTTTTCTAAGCCTAGATATCCTTTTATAATACCTGTTTACCCAAAATCCTAAACATCCACCCCCCAAGCAAGAAAAAGGTTCAGGGGGGATCCCCTCTCCTAGAGCCCATGGACTGAACATCCTAAATTATGTGATGTGTTTTTTCTTTTTGGGAGCATTTAGGGTTTAGTGCATTGCATATTGGGATTGTATAGGGACGTCGCCCCAATAGAGGAGAATCAAATGAACGAGAAGATGGAAGATAAGCTGGAAATTGTGATTATGTAGTGCTTTGTTGGGATTAATTAGTGTTTCCCACATGAGGGGTACCTGAACTCTAAACCCTAGCAGTGGTTTATAGGGATTGGGGCTTCAGAAAATTGATAAGTCGAATGAAACGATTTAACCGAATGGAAATCGTAATGAAATCGCAATAAAGCCCCTAAGATCAAATTAAAGCCATTGAAATTGAAAGGAAATCTGAATAAACCCAATAATGAAGCAAGCTCTATTGAATATCTAATTATCGACCCTTCTCTCCTTCATCCACTCTCAACACGTGCGCCCCAGGCAGCCATCTTGCCAAATCCACAGCCATTTTTGGGCACTTAGTTGTGTTGTTCTTGTCCGCAGGAAGGTGGGTAGGGCTTTGTCCCAGTTTCAGTGTCATTTTTAATTTTCATTTCCATTTGATTCTGCATTCTGCGGGCTATATATCCCTATGTAATCCTAATATCATATAGTAATGTAGTAATTATTCCCCAACAGACTTGGAAGCAAGTTTGAAGCAAGACAGGATCAATTTGCTGATCAACGCCCCTCTGCCTCGCACCGCCTTCGCCTTGTTCACAGCGCCGGGTATCCTGCCCGACGCTGGGTTGCAGTTCGGCTTCAGCTGTTCGGAAACTATACGGTTTAGGGTTCGGGGGTTTTGAGTTTTGGCGTTTGAGTTTTCAGTTTTTTGGGTGGTTGGGGGGCTTAGGGGTTTTGGGTTTAGGGTTGGTGTAGAGGTTGTTTGAGGTGGATCGAGGGCAGGGAAGGTGAGCCACGCTTGCGCAGTGCTGTGCAAATCTTCTAATATGAGCCTGTCATATTCCTTGCATTCTGTGAACACATGTTTTCATATGACGTTGCACTATGCTATCATATTATTTCGATCTATGCTACATTACAACTCAAGTCCATCTTCCATTCCAGTTCTTCAAGTCCAATACGTATTCCTTCTTGTTCTCTGACGATCCTTCCTATTCAAAGGTCGAACCCAGTATCTTGTTTGTTGCCTGGCCTGCTGTTGCTGTCTTCTTGTAATTTCAGAATTCAAGGTTACTATAAGTACAAGAGTTGAAGGTACCTGAACAGCTGTTGACTACCTGCTTTCATCCAGCATGGCTGAAATGGTTGGTACCACCAAATCCTCACGAACCCGTGTCTACCCTCTTTGACCCTGTTCAGTTCATGCAAGTTTTGACTTCCCGCATGGTCATGGGGACTTGGTAAGTAGGTTAATAACCTCTATAAACCGCATAATAATCCTAATTATCCCCCTTACTTACCTACTTACTAAGTCCCCATGACCCTAAACCCTAAACCCTAAATAGTATGTAATCGTTGCCATTTTCTTTTCCATTATGAACCTACTTACTAAGTCCCCATGACCCTCCAGGTATCTAATCAAGCCAGGGCTTCGTGGTTTGCAGACTTTTCAGAAGCTTATAGTATATTGTAGTAGAGGATCGTATACAAGAGTTGCGTTTCGTGCGCAGAGCCCGACACAAGCAGAAGTGGGCGGCTGCCCGAAGCAGCTCCCGCAAATTCCACGAGCGGGCCTAAAAGGTCCCCTTGTAATCACTACATAACCAATTTTCCCAGAGGAACCCAATTTTGCAGGAAGCCCCTTCAATCAAAAAAGGATTCCATCTGCAACATGAGATGGCAACGCGCATGATGCGAATGGGCATGATGAGTACAGCGCATGAGCAGCTTCTTGCCCATCTCTGGATTGAGCTTACTAAGGCGGAGGCCATTTACAAATTTTGCCATAAGTGGTTTATGCAAGGGATAAGTGGGGTTCTACGTCCCATATTCGTTATAGATACGGGATTGCCAAATGCAGATATGTAGTTGAACTATAGTGACTAGAGGGCTGCGCCCAGTAAGGAACTGATAAGGAACTGATACTTGTCAGTCCCCCTAGATTAGGCCATGCAGTAATAGGGTCACTTTCTGTAGATCAGATTCTTGTCTTTGCTTATTACACTCGCGCAAACTAAACCTGGAAAGTGACAGGGGGTCCTTGTAGTAGATTGCTGATGCCGTTTGCGGTTTGCATGTGCGGTTTTGAGCAGAGTGCAAGTTCCTCTCGGCACATGTTACTTGGACGGTCTTGTTGACTTGGCAAGTCTACTTACTGGCAGGGGTTATGATTAGGGGCTCCTAGTAGGGTATTGGTGATAGATAGGCTCACTAAGTCCAATAGTCATGCAAGTAAGATTACACAGAAGCATACAGAAGCCTTTATTGCAAATCTGGTTGCTGGTCACATTACCCTTTCCCGACATTCACTCATCAGAGTTGTTACATACCGCACTAAGTTTGGACATGTACATATATACATGTATATATGTATGCATGTATGCATGTATGCATGTATGCATGTATGCATGTATGCATGCATGCATGGATGTATGGATGTATGTATGTATGTATGTATGTATGCATGTATGTATGTATGTAAGCATGTATGTATGTATGTATGTATGCATGCATGCATGCATGCATGGATGGATGGATGGATGGATGGATGGATGTAAGCGTGTGAGGCTTGTGCTTGTCCGTGGCAGTGAGAGACTGGCTGCTCCTGCCCCAATCTGAGACCCTCTGACTTCTTTGACACGACTTGAAGGTTGATAGGACTTAGTAAATACTTACAGTATAATTGGGCCTGTAGCCCTACTTGTGCTGCACTTAATTGGACCCATGTAGGTTATCCCAGTTCTAAGTTCTAAGTAGGGTTATAAACCCACTTCTAAGTAGTTAATACGTCCCATGAACCTTCAAGTGCCCCAGAGGGTCCACAGTATCTACAGAGTACAAATCAAGGTTTGGAAGAATAGAAACGTCCTCTACCATTCTTCCGTTAAGTAGTCCCCTACAGGGGTACCGACCTAAACCCTAAACCCTAAACCTAAACCCTAAACACTACCACTGGAAGCTTGAGGAGCTCCAGACCTAAGGGTCCAAGGCCCCAAACAATATTAATGGTGGGTCCCTTTAAAGGGATTTATAGGGGGATGTATAGGGATATATGGGGACTATATAGGGGTATATAGGACGGGGGGTTTTAGGGCCCAAATACCATTGATATTATAGCATTTGGGCCCCATTATCTGGGTGCTTGGACCCTTGGGGAAGGAGAGATTGCGACTGTGGTTTTACAGGAGACGAAATGGCCATGCTGACGATGCTGACATTTGCGATGCAGGGAAATAGGGTACATGGTTTAGGGTTTAGGCTCGTTTTTCCGCGGCATCCCATTCATTATGCGGATTTGAGCCCTAAGAGCCTCGGCAAGCCAAAACAGCATACAAACTCTGCAATAAAGCCTTGACCCTTAACCCTCAAATCTCTCGACCTTTAGCCCTGAGCCAACTCAAGACGGGCGCTAAGTGTGCTCAGGTGCTAGTTTCCCCCAGCAAGGAGCAGTGACTTCGTTCTTGGTGGCTAAGCTCCTGGTATCCCCCTTACAGACGCCTCTATCCCCTATATAATCCCTACTTACATACGCCCAAGGATTTTAGACTATAGCTCAGCTGGGCTAGCAAATCAGATCCGAAAGTTTCTCAATATTTGGGTATGTAGGCCGTTGCAATTGTAGTACAAGTCTTGGGGGAGTGTATATCATGACGTTTAGGCATTCCTCCTACACCCTGAAGCCTAAACCCTAAAGTTGTATGATTATGAGGTACTGCTCCTCTAATGACCCAGTCACAGGCCCAGAACCCAGGGCCAAAACCACCACAAGCCTCAAGAAATCCTAGACACTAAACCCTAAACCCCAACCCCTAAACCTTAATCCCGAAACCCTAAACCCTAATCCCTAAACACCAAGCCCAGAATCCCCATCACCTTAATCCCTGAGCCACCAGAGCCAGGAGCGACGACGACTCGAGGTCAAAGAGGAGTTCAGCCAGGCAGGGTCACTTATTCCTGGGAGTCCCTACGGTGGATTATAGGGGTTTAGGGTTCAAGGTTTAGGGTTTAGGTGGATACTAAAGATCCTGCATGACCCTAGGTACCTTATACCTCGGGAATAATGGTATTATAGTATAGTAGGGTCATGCAGGATTTTGGGTATCAACAGTCGTACATTTAGGCCCTACGTTAGACCCCCAAAAAATCATTGAAGCTTTTGGGCCCTAGACTATGAATCTCTATGTGGACTCCTAAAACTGAAGGTCTTTCGGGGCTAAGGTACTACACGGGATATCCCCCAAAAAGTCCCAAAGGCTCCATGTAGCTCTATGGTATATACTTGGGCCCTAAAGTAGTTATGGGAACCCCTTTGGGCCCTAAGTATATACTATATAGCTACATGGAGCCTTTGGGAGTATCACATTTTTGCGAAGCCATCTTCCTATATGCTTTTAGCCGCCCGAATCTCCACGTTTGGACTTGGCAGGCCTTCCAGAAGATCACCAACCTCATGCTGAACTCCTACACCTTCTTCGAGCACCATGGCTTGGGTTTAGGGTTTAGGGTTGCACTTCATAAATGCTTGTAGTGGGACCCTTAGGCATAACTATGCTTCTTGGACTCTAAACCCTGAACCCTACACCCTAAACCCTGAACCCAAGATGAAGGGATTCTGCGATGTATAGCGGCGTGCATCTCGGGCATGCGCTACCGTTGCTCATAGTTCCAACCCTGAGGCTCCAAGTAGGCCTCATTTGTAGACTTTAGACTTGAGACTTTAGGGGTTAGGGTTTAGGGGTTTAGGGTTTAGGGTTTAGGGTTTAGTGGTTTGGGATTAAGGCTTTAGAAGTTTAGGGTTTAGGGACCCGCCTTAAGGTATTCCTGTGGGACGTAGCGCTCCGTTTCCCCACCTGGACACCCTAAAAACTAAAGCCTAAATCCAAAGCCGTTTGAGTTTGCCCGAGAATCCACTGCAGCTTCCTTGCGAAAACCCTGAGCCATTCTGCAAACGATACGAAGTATGGTTTCTGTAGTAGGAACTTTCCGGTTTTGGGTTTTAGGGTTTAGGGTTTAGGGTTTGGGTTGGGTGCATGTTCCCTATAGAGGTATTTAGGACCCTTGAGGTCTGTGCTTGAGATTGCAGACTCGAAGGCTTGAAGTTGTGGACCGTGAAAACCCTCGGGAGGTATCTTGATCAAACGGGATTCTGGCGATCCCTGCCAAAGATTCAAAACCCTAAACTCTACAACTTGAGAGGACATGTTATGTTTCAGGACGCTCTAGTAGCAGAAGACCAAAGTCCCTTGGCTTAAGCAGTAGGTAAAGGGTTTAGGGTTCATAGCTTGGGGGCCCCCAAAGTGCAAACGCAAGTCGTGAAAACTGCATGCTACTGCATCCAAGGAGCCATCCGCACGACATCCAGCGAGAGTGGAAGATCTACATTGACAAGGTGGCCATTTCCTCCCTGTGTTTTCAAATCTAAAGACCATAGCAACCACCAAGTCTACTTGCCATGAGCATTGATTCTGATCGCAATGTACCAGCTTGGTGTTATCAGGGTTCTCATGACTTGTATGTTCGTGATTGTGGTGGGCAGCAACAGTGATGGTGGCATGGTGGTGGTGGTGGTGGCGGCGGCGGCGGCGGCGGTGGTGGTGGTGGAACGGGGAGAATGTACGTACATATCACTGCGCCGACTCATACAGGTTTGTCATTCACCCATTTCTTACTAGATTCGCTAACACCGCCATCATTAACATCCGCGACAGCATTGCCTGACGGGGAAGAGACCCTAAGAAGTAGCCTCTGAACCATAGTCTCTTTTTAGCAGGGCACGGATGCGGCATGAAATGAAAGGCACGCCATGCGTACTGCGGAATGCACTATTCGAGTAGCAGTTTGAAAAGGCACCTGTAGATCGCCGGTCAGGATTGCGAATTAGTTTGCCCCATGATTCCTGCGTACTCAGCTTGACCATCAGAATTGCTGCATGTGAAGGCTTGATTCGATGCCTTCAGAGCCCACTTCGAGAAGAGTACCTGCTGATCGTACACACCCTCGCAACTATTCAATTCCAAACTCTGAAGAATCCTACGCACTTGGATGTTAAGCTTTCCGACAACTCAAGGTAAGGTTTTGGGGAGTTGTCGTCCTAAGCCCTAAACACCACACGCTTATCCTAAAATTCTTAAACCCACAGCTTCATTCCCAAACCCTAACCACAAATGGTAGTTTCTCAAAATAAGGGGACCCCAATGTAGGTCCTAATATACTATAGTCCTTACTATGGGGACACCCAACCCAAAAAGGGTACCCAGAATTCTGGGAAAACCACAAATCAGGTCGACAAGAAAATTGAGGAGGCTTTGAAGAAGGCCGTGCACACAGTTTTGCTAATACGGGGCTTAGGGTTTAGGGGTTCAGGGGTCTAGTGTTTGAATGTTAAGGTTTAGGGTTCAGGGTTGAGGGTTTCGGGGGGCTTTCTCACAAGTGTGGCCCTTCCCAAGGGCCACATGGTGCCGATGGGTTTCTCAAAATGCCGTTCTGGTTACGGGCCCGAAAAAAAAGTATGATTTTCATCGCGACGGCCGGGTCCTTACTTGGGAGATTTGACGATGGTTCGTTCGAGAAACTACTGTAACTCTGCCTAAGCCCTGACATGAACAACTGTCAATACTAGGCTTGTTCAGGAACCCTAAATTGTGGGAATGGGGGTCCCTCTTGCAGATTCATATACAGTCCCTAACATCGTCCCTAAATCCTGAGCACACGTCCATCAACTTCTGTA